CTGGGATTACAGGCACGTGCCACCAATGCCCAGCTAATTTTTTTTTTTTTTTGTAGTTTTAGTAGAGACGGGGTTTCACCATGTTGACCAGGTTGGTCTCGATCTCTTGACCTCGTGATCCACCCGCCTCGGCCTCCCAAAGTGCTGGGATTACAGGCTTGAGCCACCGCGCCCGGCCCTCAGGTATTTCTTTATAGCGACATGGGAGCGAACTAGTACACCGGCCTGGTAAGGTGGAAAGGGCAGGGCTTGGCAGCCAGACAAGGGCTTAACTTTCAACTTGGGACTGAACATGCACTCAGCGAAAATGAGATGGCTCTACACATGGAGCCACAGGGTTCCCCTTGTCTCTGCAGCCCCTGTTCTCTCCATCAGGAGTGACACCAGGTCTCTTGTTCTCAGAAAGAGCCCTGAGAGGGCAGACAGCAGGTTCTCTCTCGTGTCTCTAATCAGACATAACATGGCTGGGGGCAGTGCAAAGAGACACAGTAAGGGCTCATGATGAGTTTTTTGTCACTGTCAAAACTGGGTCCTGCTGGCAGGTTCTTAGGCCCAAAGGCAAGGTGGGAGTGGGAAAGAGTCTGGCTGCTTCTATTTGAAGGCAGGACAGGTCACAGACAGCACACCGCAGGGGACAGAGCTTTCACTGGAGCCACCTCAGATTCTCTCCTGGAGAAGAGAATCGACCAGGAACATGGAAGCTGCTGTCCTCGGCACAGCCACCATGCACACCGGACCAGACACTAGCCAGTGCAGGGCACATCCCCGGTGGCATCTGTGCCACAGGTCACAGCAGCCCCATGATTTGGATAGAAGAAGAAAACCTGGGCTCCTAAGTAAATTACCAGTTACTTTTCTCCAAGGCAAACTAACCTAAAGCCGTTAACTAAAAACAAAAAACAACCAAACAATAACAAACCTTTTTATTGTAAAAACAAAACACAGAAATGCACAAGCTGCACAGAGGACCCCAAAGCCAGGGCTGCCCAGACCCCACACCACACCACAGGCTCTGCCTTGGGAGGAGGCACCTTCCGAGACTGCTGTGAGGATTACTTCCTTGTATTTTAAAATTTACAATAGATCTGCTGTAAAAAAAAGAAAGAACTGGGTGGGGCATTTCCTACAAATTAAAGAGACTGAACTTTCTGGCTAGGCGTGGTGGCTCATGCTTGTAATCCCAACACTTTGGGAGGCCGAGGTGGATGGATCGTTTTAGGTCAGGGGTTCAAGACCAGCCTGGCCAATACAGTGAAGCCCCTTCTCTACTAAAAATAAAAATTAGCCGGACATGGTGGCACACACTTGTGGTCACAGCTACTAGGGAGGCCCAGGCAGGAGAACCGCTTGAACCCAGGAGGTGGAGGTTGCAGTGAGCCGAGATCGCACC